TAGGGTTTAGTGAGGGATATCTTCTAATCTAAGGCAAGCAGAAGAAGGGCAATTGGTATTTTCTGTGGTTAGAAAAGACCCCATAAGGGAGGTAGAAAAAAATAAAGTTTGTCTGGATTTATGTGAAAGCTGCTTAGGTACCTAATTAAAGGAAAAGAGTTAATGTTGCATATTGCAAAGTGGTAAGTACTTGCTGATTTCTTTATATAGAGTGCTGTTGAGTAAATTAAAATTTAATGTAAATGATCAAAGAAATACCTAGGCAGTGATTTTTTTAACATCTTTATGGAGTGGTGAAGGAACCCTTTAGAAACTGTTTGGGGTGTTTTTTTAAAAGCTCTGTGAGGATTCTACTGCTTTTGAAGGTGGTGCCTTAGGTTAGAGCTCTTTTTCTAGATTTCTTTAACAGCAACACCGAACATAGCAGTGAAAGTGAAGAGGAGTGGCTTTGCTGATTTAGCCAGTTTCCTCCACAGCAAAGTTGTGATTAGTTACCATTTCCTCCTCTGTCTTTGGCTGTGAGAGTTTTTTGCTAATAATCCACCATTTATTATAGCAATGCCAGGTAAGAACTAACTTTTGATATCTCTGAGCATGATGGGAAAAAAAAACACAACAAAGCAAAACACAAATGGTTTGTTTACTTCCTGATCATATATAAGATGGAATCTGTGCAAAATGCCTCCTCCTGGTTTTGCTCAGCACAGCAGAATAGCAGTGTGCAGTGCTCAGAGAAATGAATGTGCCAAGACCAGTGAGTGAAGTAGGTTCTAACCAATGTATGTGGTATGTAAACTGTTTAAAGTTTTAAAAGCTAGTGCCTGTTCTTGAAAGTCTTCTGTATTTACTTGCTCAGCTGGTGTATTTCAGGACAGAGAGAAGAGGAAATGTGCAATCTTTGGGTTATATAAAGCCCTTCAGTTGCGGGTTGTGTGCTGTAAGTTACGGTGTGGGGGAGGATGCTGAGCGCGACTTGTGCAGCACTGGGTATTAAGTCTCCCACTGGATAGGCTATTAAAAACTATGAGAACTTTGGGTACGAAATAGGAGGATTTGCACTTAAACCAATCCACGACCTGTATACCAATTGCTATATTCCAGTATTAATCTCTGTTTTTATGTGTGCCCTGAACCACAAAATGGTTGTCAAGTTGCTTTCCAACTAAAATAAGGTGACATTTTAAGTTCATCTGTAGGAGGCCATTGAGTCACAGACTGGTTCGCTGTGGGTATGCTTATGTTACTCTGTTACATAGATAGAGATCATTTGATGATGCTGTATGCTCATTGTTACAAAATGTATTTTTTTAATAACTGAAGAAATACAGTATGGACTGTCATGAGGAATTCTATGTTATAGCAGTATTCTAGAAATCCTCTTCTGCTTTGATTACTTTGCTGTGGAAAAATTGCTACTCTTTGTATATATGTGTCATAGTGAAAATTTAACTAGTAATAAAAGCACAACAGTAGGATTGACCACCTCACTGTTCTTGAGAAACAAACAGGAATTAGAGCAGAGGTGGTAACAGTTGTTTTTCTTCCATGCAAGTGCAGGAAAAACAGGCAGAACAGTTAGTAATGGAGCTGGCTTCTTCTGCAGCAATATGTTAACTATTTTCTTTGGCTGCATTTAAGCTGAATGCCATCTGGGGCAGTGGCTGTCCATCAAATTATTGTGGGTGCAGTGATGCTTGTCTGAGTGGCCTCCATGCTTAGCTTGAATCAAGCAATCTGATCCAGCTCCTTTCAGTCTGGCCTTTGGCCCATGATTGAATAGTGAGCTTTAACCAAACAATTGCATATAGAACCCGTGTTTGAAGGCATGAGAGGGTGGTCAGGGCAGAACAGACGGTAGAGATTTCAGACTGGCTAAAACCAGTAATTTACTTAACTTTGCTCTAATGTAAACTTCTCATTTAGCTTTGTTAGAAATTACAGCATTAAGGATTTTTAAAATAGCAATTGTGGAATACAATGGGGAGGTGAAATCAAACTCTGAATTTGTAAAATAGAGTCATAAGAAGATATATGTCACTAACAGATTGCTAGAGCAAACTCCCTTCCCTGTTACTGTCGTGCATACTCACACCATAAGAAGTTACATTGGACAGATGCAGAAAGTTTTTGCCAGCCCTTTACATTCACATTTGGTGTTTTTTGTTCTGTTTTTCATTAAAATCCTGCATCTTGTTCAGCTACTTTCTGAGCAGTTTATACCATTGCAGTACTTTTCCTGAAAAAAGAAAATCTCAGTTGCACAGTGTGAATGGTAGTGGAGTGCAGGATAAAGGAATTCATCTCATTTAGGACAGAGAGAAGTGATGGCAGTATTGTAAAGCCCATCTTGATGGACAGGCCAGTGCAGATGAATTCCAGAGAAGGGTAGGGATCCTTCCACTTGTTGAGCAATCCAGTTTGTAAGCTCAGGCCTGGCTAAGAAAAATACTTGCAATCTTTGTTCCAGCCCTCATTTACCATGGAGTGTGAGTGTGTACAGGAGCACTTTGTGCAGAGGGCTGATGTGGTCGGGTGTATCCTTATCCAAATATATCAGCTTACTTGGCTGTTGGCAAGTACACAAATCTGAGGACTCTTTTAAGAGTTTAACTTCACTGCAGTGTCATGAAGAGGGCTGTCTTTGATTTGAGGAAGTAAGTGCAACTCTGTATTAGGATAGGATTTTGTTAACATAAATCAGCTTTGCTCACAGTTGCATGATGAGATGAGAAGCATCAGTTTATCTTTTCTGTTTTATTGAAAGGCAAAACTTAGAAGCTGGATTTTTTTTTTTTTCTTTTTTCTTTGGGATAGTACTTAGTAACCAGTTGGGAGAGAGCATCTTAAAATAACTTAGATTATTAACAATTACACACTAAATTTAAAACCTAAGAACTTGTTAAAATTATCCATACTGAGTTCATGTATGTACTTCATCCATCAGTGTACTGATGTATGTACTTCATCATGTATGTATGTACTTCATCAATCTTCAGTGTGCATTCACATGCAGCAAATTCTTAAGTAACTCGTCAATTAAATAAACTTCAGGCTCTACAAAATCACCCATTTGTACAGCAGAAATCTATTAGTCATTTCTGTGTTTATGCTGGAGTTAGCTTGAACCGTGGCCAAACATACCATTTTGTCTCCAAGTTCAGATTCCAGCCCTGAGTTACTAATAGTCTGTGGCTTTGAAATGCTGCCAGATATTAGCACTTGCAAAAGAAGCTCCTGTCGGTGTAAATTAAAACAGAAGATTCTTCTCTTTTCTGCCATGTAAGTTTGAATTTGGTTTTCTAAGAACAAGACAGTGGCATTTCCTTCTAAGAACATAAAGCAGCTATCAGCTTTCCTAACTCCACTGCTAAACACATGCACTGGTACACAAATATACACCTGTGCATTAAGTAGCTAATGTACAGATCGTGTATTAGCTGTTGTAAGTGATGAATGCATTAAATAATGACTCACAAGAAGGAGGAAGGTGTCACAAGGTGACAGATCTGTCTCTATGCAAATAATCATGACAAAAATAACAGACAAAGCAGGGTAACCTTCAGAGGAAAATGAAGGAGCTCTTGAACAAAACTGAGTGTATTTTCACAGTTGTGTAAGCTAACTAATCTAACTGAAGAGAATACACTGAATTTATGATGAACAGCAAGATAAAGGCATGCCTGTGAAATAACAGTATTTTGATACCTCAGGATTTCTATTCCTTTATTACTAAGCCTGTGTATTAGCAAATATCAGGTGTATGTGTTCCTTTAGTCCTTTGGTGGGAAAGTTTAATTGTTGGGGAAGAGGGTGGCAGCATGCTGGATGCTTATGGAAGTTCTGTCAAAGATTCCTATCTGAGCCTTATTAAACTTCAGCTTACTTTAGGAATGTGTCTTTTTCTAGAGCAGTGAGGTTAGAGCTGCTCGAGTTAGTAGTCAACTGCAGCTTACAAGCCAAATAAATACATTAACAGTAGAAAATTCAGGTATTTGCTCTTCCGGTTTGTGTTGTACTTTGTTCTATTGCACATACCAAGGTGAATGTTATTTTAGCCTCAAACACACAAGCTTGTTATTTACTGGTAATTCTTTATAGCCTTTATGAACTATGGTTGTTGCAGTCTAAATGGAGATTCACAACTGCACAGGTTCAGCTGTTAGCAGAAGTTACTCATCCACATGAATCGTGGAAGGGTGAAGGCCCTTTGGAGGAAGACTTAAATGATGGGATGCTCTTCTAGAAGCAGCTGGAGCTGTCTTTTAGAAGACAGCACTGCAGATCAACACCTAATATGTTGTAGTTACAGCTTTAGTTAAAAGCAGCAGCTCTTCTATTTTCCTGACTATTGAATGTTATAATAAATTAATTGTCCCCTGCTTTATTACCTGCATTTTCCAGGTTGACTCACTTCACTTCTTGACATTTTATTTATGTTGTCTTACTGCTTGTCCTTTCCCTAGTGTGACGATGGATCCACTTACTGAAAGAAGAAATAAATTATTTTTACCTGTTAATTTTAATTTGAAGAAGTGTGCTTCCTAATCCAGGCTTCCCTGGAAGACTTACAAAGTAAGAAGGATATGACTTTAAAATCCCCAGCTGTTTCTTTTTGTTTGCTTTGGTTTGGGTTTCTTTTTTTTATTATTGATTTATTATTATTATTATTTTTTGATTAACCTAAACTAGAGTTTCTCATGTAAATGTTCCTTTTGGAGTGTTTCTTTTTTGGAAAAGAGAAAAGACACGCAAGACTCCACCAGCTGCTTTCTCTTGGACAGACCATTTTGACTCTGCTTTTTGTTTCTCAGTCAAATACAAGAACACTTACCTGTTCGTGATAACAGTATTGGACATGATCTTCAGAGAAAAGAAATTAGGTGTATCATTTCTTTTGTTAAATTACTGTTTTTTCTTTGGTTGCATCAGTTACCTCTAGGGAAACTTACTTCTTTTTAGTACGTTTTTGAGTGAGCAACTGGTGAAATATCATTTTACAGGTTACATGCCTTACCTGTGACAATAAATCAAATACAATAGAACCTTTCTGGGACCTGTCCCTGGAGTTTCCTGAGAGGTATCACTGCAACGGCAAGGAGATGTCATCTCAGTACCCATGTCTGCTGACAGAAATGCTGGCCAAGTTTACAGAAACAGAAGCTTTGGAAGGAAAGATCTATGCATGTGATCAGTGCAACAGTGAGTAAAGGCAGTATGTACTCATACATACGTTCTATGTGTAAAATACAAAGTAAAGTGACAGTTATTACAGAAGGGAAATACTGAAAGTCTTAAAAGTATGTTGCAAACAAACTTCTCATGTTCCTGGTGTGGTCACTTGACAGCTATTACTTATCACCTAGAAGATGGAATTATTCAAAGGATGTTTTGAAGTGTGATGCTTCTCTTAGATGAAGTCTGATCACACACTGGTGGGGATTCTGATACTCCCAGTCAAAGAACATTAAGGTGACTAACCTAAGTGACCACAAGTATTTTATACTTGTAGCATAAAATAATCCTTGCAAAATGGCTCCGAGTGTATCCTTTTTAAGGAGGCACATACCATCCTATTTAGAGCCACGCAAATTTGGTGGATAAACCTTAGATTGAAATACAAGGCTGTTATCAAGATTTGTATTGTGCATCTGTGTGTTTGGTCTCAGCAAAACGAAGGAAGTTTTCTTCTAAACCAGTTATACTCACAGAAGCTCAGAAGCAGCTCATGGTGTGTCGACTACCTCGGGTTCTCAGATTACACCTTAAACGGTTTAGGTAAGTAGTATCACAACAAACAGCACTGCAAACTGACCAGTGTAGTCCTGCTCTTCCCTTGTTTGGGGTTTATGTTTTTCAGCATCAGTTTCAGTTCCCTTTACTAGTATGATGAGAATTAGTTATTAGGAACTTGTTTTTCTTGTTTAATTTAATCTTCAGTAAGATACACTGTAAGTAGAAAATGGACTTTTTAGATTCCAACTATTTGTTATTTTAATACCAAAATTATTTCATAGAATCATGGAATCATAGAATAATTAGGGTTTAGTCAAAACCTACTAACCTTGCTGTGAACTCTGTTATCTTCAGGTAGTGTAAATGCTCATATTCACGAATGTACAAACTGAGATTGTATTCAGTGGACGTCTCATATAACCTTCATATAACCAAACACATTAATGCCTGAGAGTAAAGAAGTGGAGACTGTATCTCTGTGAACTCTTTAGTTCACACAGTAGTACAGAGTCTGTCCTGAATACAAAGGAAACTGAAAATGAGATAGAACAAATGAGAAATACCAGTGAGAGATGGTACATGGGAAGTACATCCCACTCACCATTACCAAGATGTTAAGACATATGTTTCAGAAGATGAGAACAGTAGGTCCAATAGACAAAATTTTAAAAGGCCTAGAGATAAAGGAGGGGCCTACGGAAAACACATGCAAATTAGCGTTGATTTAATGCACAAAGACAACAGTGAAGATGAGACTTGTTCTGTTAAAGCGTAATTCAGAAGGCTGTGTTCTTTAAGAAAAAAATAAGTTTTCATTTGACTGAACTTTGCAGGTGGTCAGGACGCAATCATCGTGAGAAGATTGGTGTACATGTTAATTTTGATCAAATGCTGAACATGAAGCCCTACTGCTGCAGAGAATCTCTCAAGTCCCTCCTGCCCGACTGCTTTATCTATGACTTGTCTGCTGTGGTAATGCATCATGGGAAAGGATTTGGCTCTGGGCACTACACTGCCTACTGCTACAATTCAGAAGGAGGTAGGAATCAGCTGTGAAGTAAGTGTGGGAGAAGGAGTGTTCCTAATTCTCAACTTCTAAGCTTACTGTCTTGTCTCAAGAGGAAAAGGAAACCACTTGTAGCTGAAGTGCCTGGAATGAGAATTGCAGTTCAGTAGACCAAAACAGTTCAATTTTTGTGTTGGCTTGTTAAGACGTGTTCCAGCTATAAACTCTCTTGTAAATCTGAGGAAGATAAGCTGGGCTTTTAAAACATAGAGACAAATATACTAGATCAACTGACACAATGTACTCTTTGTACACAACTTGTTAAATGGGACTGAACACTAATTCATGATTAAATAAAACGCAGTGACTTCAAATCAGTGTCCTGATGACTTTTTGGTGTATTTCTTCACTGCAGGATTTTGGGTACACTGCAACGATTCGAAACTCAACAGGTGCACTATGGAAGAAGTATGCAAGGCTCAAGCCTACATTTTGTTTTACAGCCAACGACGTACTCAGGCAAACGGACACGGTAAAGCACCTTGTCCTAGCAAAGCTGAAAGCCAGCAGCACGTAGAATTAGCTGACTGTTCCATGGTCAACAGTATCAGCTAATCCAAAGCCAGTTAACTGTATGGTAAAAGGTTGAATTGTCCTAACTATATATTTTTAAATGAAATGGAAGTACAGCATTGTACTTTTTTTTACTTTGGATCTGTGTACAATGTTATATACTTTTGCATTAGTTAAAGTACTCTTTACAATTGTTAGTAAAAGTTTTTATTGACAGTAAGTAACTTTCTAAGTACCTAGAATTTCAATACAGCTATTTTTTTAAGAAAAAGATTGCTATTTGCATATAACTCTTACCTCAGGCTGTTTTTTAAAGCTGGTTTTGTATTTTGATAATCTTTTTGAATTGGTTTAGAAAAAGGACTTTCAACGAGCAACTGATGTTTCTCTGGTTAATTTTCTGTATATGCTTGTGTACATTTTATAGTATAGTTCTAATGATATCACAATTCTTACTGTCTGCAGGAATTACTGCTGGGTCTTAGAATATTAACATTCATGTTCTACATATCAAATAGTAACTGAACTTCTCATAGGAAACTTCCTGTATATGCTTCATTACTAAAGTGAAATTATTTGGTAAGCTTCAGGGGAGCTACGCTAAAGACAGGTGTACAGAATTTCTTAAAATCTGAAATTGAGGAAGTAGAACATGAACTTATGTAAGTATTTAAGAGAAACGTTTGAAAACACAAGAATGTATTTTTAGCCAGACTTCCATGTTTTAGCCATAGGAAGTCTGACAACTTAAAACTCAAGTGCCAAATTTGAACTACTTTGACAACCCGGGGATTTTTATTCCAATAAAGCTTTCTTAAAAAAAAAAAAAAAAGCCAAACACACAAAACCACACTCACCCACCCCACTGGCACTGCTACAAGAACATTCAGCACTGGACAAGGTTAAACTGTAGCAAGCCTTGTCTGTCTCAGTCATTTCTTACTCAAACCAATGAAAAGAAGCTGTAGCCGTTGTACAAAAGCATTTTCAATCTGACTGGTTTCATTACCTACAGCTGCTGTGCCTTCTCCACGGTCCTACCACTAGCATTAACACAGCTGTGCATCGAGGAGACTCTTACAAGCAGGAATTATCAGTCCTCTACATACAGTAGTTAATGCCAAGTAAATTTGAAGTGTGAAGTTATTTTGTGTAAGTCCTATGCAAATTGTTACCTCATCTTCTGCAAAGTTTATACCTCAATAAAATGCCTCAATGTGGACAGAACACCGTATGTGCATGGGAATTGATTCCTACATTAAAGTTACAGTTTTGTCTAATGTGGGTCAGGGTCACCTGTCACTGATTCAGCAGTGGATTTATTTAACATTTCTATCCGTTTCTGAAAGATGCCCTATTACAGTGAGCACATGGTGGCCTCAGATCACACACTTTTCACCTTGTGTTCATCCTAATTAGGTGTGCAAAACAGTTTGGTTACAGCTGTGCAGTCTTTCAGATACTTTCCTTCTCTGCTGTCCTTCCTGGTGAGGAAATACCGTAGTTTAAACACTTTCTACTTACAGGTAGTTGAGGGGAAGAGAAAGGAAGGGGAAGGAGTTTTGGTGATTGCCTTTCTGACTTCTGATGCATTTTCTTCCCCCAAGAACATCTCAACCAGATTCATAGAGATTCTAAGAGACTCAAGCATTAATGGAAGAGTCTGTCTTGGGCCTTGTGTGAGTTCATTATCCTCAATCATAATTTGTAAGCACATACTCAAGCCGCTTAAAAACAATCTTATCCTGCCATCTTTTCTGGAATGATTGCCTAGGCTGTGCTGAGGGCTGTTCCCCTGCACTTGCTCTCCCTGCAGCAAGCATTGCCAAGTCTCAAGGCTTTCTGTAAAAAAACAATATTAGCTTAGCAAAAGAACATTCTGCTTCTTCCTATTGGTGCTCTCCTGGGTAGAAAAAGAGGGAAGAGAAAGGAACCCTCACACCAAGAGCTCTGGTCCCAGTCCAGGCACGGGGAGTACAGAGAGAATTACTGCAGTCCAGCATAAGGGTGGGCTAATTCAGGTGTGCTTGTCTGCAGCTGCTTTGGTTCTTTAAATTCACTGGTTCATGTAGCCAGCTCTGTGCCCTTTATCTAGACTAAGGCTTAAGCACAGTGTGAGTATGTGCTTAGGTTCTGTCTTGCTTCACTCAAGTATTTAAAAGGAGACAAGGAAGTGGCTAGTGGCAGAATCTTCAGAAATGCCTGTACACTGCTGTAGGTCTTGGGAAACCAGACAGCTATTTGGCCACCCTCATGTTTTAGCAGCAGCTGCTCTGGAGTCAGGCTTCCACAACTCACTTGCAGGAACTCAGCAGAGCAGTAAAGCCAAGAGTGCAGCAGCTCAGCACCTGTAATCAGCAGCAGGGGTGTAGCTGATAAGGTGGGCAAACCCACCTGATACCTTCAGAGCTCCCTCCTTTATCAGGAGGAAGCTGGTAGCAGTTACTTGCATGAAAGACTAATCTTGTGAAGGCAGCCACTCTCCACCTTCATTTTAATCTACATTCAGAAAACCAGGTTAAGGTTGCTGGTGCAACTCCATTTTCCACCTTGTGAAGAGCTGTCTCCAGCTTAGGTACCTGCTGCGTGGTTAAGTGGAGTCCATTCTTGCTGAATTTCCTCTCACTGCACAAGCAATCAGTGCTTGCAGGAACTTTGTAAAGCAATTCTGTAGTAATTATTTTTAACGATGGATTCAGGACCACCTCAGACACATGGCAATGCTCTATGATTAGTAATTTGGCAGCCAAGCAAAGTGCACACAAGATGACAGAAGCATTACCAGTAATCAGTTTTACATGCATTTGTGAGGTCACCTGCCGACTCCCTCAGCCCTTCAGGGGAGTGGTCGGGTTGTTTCCCTGGACAGACAAGGGAAGCAGCACTGTGCTGTCACTAGCCCGTATCATGTTCATTTGGAAAGAGTGCACACAGTGGCTGACAGTGGAAGGGGTCTCTGGAGATTGCAGAGTCCAACTCTGCTTAAAACAGGGTCAGCCAGAACAGGTTGCTCAGGCCTGTGGGCAGTCAGGTCTTCAATAGCACCAAGGGTAGGGACGTCACAACCTCTGCTAACAGCCTGTGTCACTGCTAGACCATCCTCACAGTAAAACCAGTTTCTTCTGCCTGAATGGAAAGAACCTCCTGTGTTTCAGTTTGTGACAGTTTCCTCTTGTCCTGACATGGGCACCTGGCTCAGTCTTCTTTACTCCTCCCATCAGGTGTATAAATACAAGGTTAAAATCTGCCCTGAACTTCCCCTCTCCAGGCTGAACGCTACCACTTCGCTCGGCCTCTCCTCACAGGCCAGGTGCTCCAGGCCTGTTCACCATCTTCCTAGCCCTTTGGTTACCTCATCCCAGCAAGCCTGTGTCTCACCAGGGCTGAGGAGAGAGAAGGGCTCACCTCCCTTGACCTGGGATACTCTGCCCAATGCAGTGTTGCTGGCTCATGGGAGGTTGTACCCCAGGCCCTTCTATGGGGATCTGCTTCCCAGCCTGTGCAGGCGCCCGGGGTTATTCCTGCTCAGGCGCAGGATGTGGAGCTTCCCTTTGTTGAGCTGCATGAGATTCCTGGTGGCCCATTTCTCAGCCTGTCCTGCTCCCTTGGGTGGCAGCAAGAGGCACCGGTGAATCAGACGCTGCCTAGGTTTGTGTCAGCTGCAAACTTCCAAACTGACACATCACACAGCACCTTCTTAAACCAAAAAAATAACTGTTTTCTCTTTCCAGGTGGTAACAGGTAAGTGCATTCAGACAGCACGCAGTGGGATTGTGTGCCTTCACTTTTATCTAATGGGAAATAAGGCTTCTATGCAGCTCTTTCCACAGTTTAAGGGATTCAGAGATTTGGCCTTACTGAGAAAAGAAAAATAGTAATTTCAAAAGCTGGAGCAGCATACATCTAATGCTCAAAAACGACTGGGCAAAAGGCTTACTCTTAACTGCTGACCAGCCTATGCAGTTTTGGGGTTTATTGAGCACTGTAGCTTTGTAGCACCAGTATAAAAGTGAAGCAAAGCTAAAATCTAGATGACCTTCAACCTTAGTTCTAAGACTTGGGTGGCCATCATAACACAGGTACCTAATTATTTTTTCTTTTACTTTAAAAGTTACTCAAAACATTCAAAATAATGAAAACAGAACTGCCTCTGAATCCTTGCAGGAAAAAAAAACAACATTCTCTATATAATTCATATAAAAATAACATCCTGCTTTAAAGCCTGCTATGCTTTTTTTCAAGTTACATGGCCTTTCTCTCCAAACACACCTTCATAAACCATTTGGCAAACACATTATTTTGTGAATGACTTCAGAAAACACACTGCCTGCCTTTGTTTATGGCCAGCTGATTGGTGTTCCAATTTGTTGGTACTCAACATTCCATGGAAGTGCAAAATCCTAGCAAATGATTAACTATAAAAAGCCTAACACCTGTCTTGCCATAGAAAATAAATATACATATATTAAATAAGTGGAACCTAGCAAAGTTCCTTTTCTCCAAAGAGCACCTGTAAAAATGAAACTAACAAGTTACAGTCATGTTTACACATCACAAGTTTCCATGATCCCACCTTTACTCTGGTGCTGTACCATTACATAATATGGATATTCCTTTGATATACTGAAGGCAATATGACACAATGAAGCTGGAGGAAACAGCAGTTCTCACTGTAACAGTAACTTTACTTCCTTCCCTAGATCCCCTGTTTCCACCTTTAAGGACTCATAGCTACTCACCTTGAAAATACCTGTGCCCTTGCAAGCCAAGTGGCTGACAGCAACTTTGAAGTAGCCAGGTGCTAGAAGTGGTTCATTATTTCAAGAGTCTGAAATGTTTCAGTGTGAAGAAGAAGAGCATGACCCATGGAATACATCTTACAGGTGCTACCTAGTGCCAAGTTTATTTCAATTTTTAATACAATCTGCCACTAGAAAGTGAGAACCCTGATCTTGTAAGGCGGGAGGGACTTTTTTCAAGGGCATGTAGTGATAGGACAAGGCAGAATGGTTTTAAACTGAAAGAGGGTAGGGTTAGATTAGATATTCTTCACTACGAGGGTGGTGAGACACTGGCACAGGTTGCCCAGATAAGCTCTGGCTGCCCCATCCCTGGCAATGTGCAAGGGCAGGTTGGACAGGGCTTGGAGCAGCCTGGTCTAAGAGGAAGGTGTCCCTGCCCATGGCAGGGGGGTTGGAAGTAAGTGATCTTTAAGGCCCTTTCTAACACAAACCATTCTGACACACTTGAGTTTTAAGCCAAAACTTAGGCACGTAGCTCCAAGGAAACCTACCATCAACACACAAGCACAAAAGTAACTTTTATATATAGGAGACTTAATGATTCTGAATATTGATACCTCCTCAGTTCAAGTAAAATCAGTAGAATCTGGCTTTTAGATGGAAGGCTCCTGCAGTTTGAACAGATTTGTTTTCTATGAAGTACCCAAGCTGCAGGAGTGTTGAGAGACAAAGACAACCAAACCCGTCCCTCTGTGCAAGACTCCCACCTCATGGGTGCTATTTGTACCCACCAGCCCCATTTTCCCTGTTCCATACTGTAAGAGCCATCTGACATGGGCCACAACACAGAGTGATCCCAGGCCCAGCTCAGCCAAGAGGCACACTTTCAAGAAAAAGCACCAGGGCAGCTCCAGTGCTCACCCTTTGCAGCAGGCAGCTGCTTTTTTGTCAACAGCTCGAGGCTGTCACCTAAACACTGAGACAAAGTCACATTCACTTTGCTTGCTTTCTGGCCCCAACCTGCTTGTTTCACACAGGTGGAGGACGGCAGGCTTGAAACTTTTCAACCACTGGTGAAGACTACTTCAAGCTGGCAGTGCCTGCTGCCCGCACAGTGTGCACGAAGGGCTGCTGACCAGTGCAACACATGACAACCTAGCTTTGCTATTTACAGACATATATACAAGGCTCTATGAAATGAAGACTTACTCAGGTTGAAGACCTAAGCAGGTGATCAAAAACCACAAAAAACCCAACCCAAATAAAACGAGAAGCAATGTGTCAAATCTAAAATTAGTCTCCTGGTTAGGAAAGTCTTTGGCCATACCTTCATTTAAAGGACAGATCACACAAGGTCAAGCTGTCTGTTCTCTGTTCTCAAACAACAGGCATCTCCCAAGGTCTGCATGAAGAAAAAACCCTGCAAAGTCAGTTCTGAGCTCTCTGGCACCTCTAATAAACATACTCTACAAAAACTTACCATTT